GAAAGATGTAGAAAAAATTAGTATTTGCAACAATTAAACGGAAACGTCACAAATCTCGTTTGTTGCATTTCCCAACAAGAGACTACAAATTTCAATATGAATGCATATAGCCTAGGGCAAAKAAATATATATACATGCATACACACATACATATGTGTATGTATATGCACTTACATATAGGTGTATAATTATGGCTGTTAGTTGATCTTCAGGAAACTCGCAAGACACAAAGGCGCATTGCATTTGCAAAAAGGCCTACCCAACTCAAAGACGACAAGGATAAGGACAAGGGCAAGGACAAGGACATGGGACTGAGCCAAAGAACAACAAGGGCAAAAGAAGCTGCGCAAAAACAAATATGAAATGAAAAAAAAAAAAGAAAAATAAAAGCGTGAGAATTCGTTTGCTCACGACGCAGTTCCACATTTAGCAGCGGCAACTTTTTGGGGATAATCACAGCATCCTTTGGGCTAAACCACCCCATTTTACGTTGTCCTAGTGGGCCAATGCGTAACATTTGCCATTCCATTGGGGGTTGCATAAATTATAAATCAAGAGCACCAATTCAAGTGCGTAGTAGCGAAACTCCTTTGATTGCTTTTTAACAAATTTTACGCGTTTTTATTTTTTTTAAATCTCATATTAGGTACAGTCTCTGCTTTGCTCTTCTCTGACCTCTGTTTTTTTCTGTTCTTTCTTATCTATGTTGTCTTCACTTTACTCTTTTCTCTATTCTATCTTCTTCCTTTTCTGTCTTCCATTTTCTTTCACCTCTCTTCTGATTTCTGTGTGGCGTCTTCTATATTCTTTCTTTTCTCTTCTCTCTTCCCTTCAATTATATTCTATTCCATTTAATCAGATCTCCAGAATATAATAGAAAAACAAGAAATACCTCTGGCATTATCATTTTCCGCAGTGTATGTCAATTGTTTGGCAATAAGACCAACCCCATGGCGAATCGGTAAACTGGAACCCTGTTTGGAGATGAGTTACGCATAGCAAACAATAGGAACATGGCACAATAATTGTACCAAAATTTCGACTTCGGCTTTGGCTGAAAGGAATGCGCAATACAGTTTCCTACTCGCATTTCAATGGTAAAGATTATGCGTAGCTAGACGAAGATGGCAATCAACAAGGAAACTCTTAGATTCCATATGTGTGTGTGTGTGTGTGTGTGAGTGCGTAATTATTATTTTTTACGATTGGGGTTGCGCGGCTGCCAACAATCCCAATAGGGTTGGCCCAAGCTCAAGGGCAGCCCGGCTGACAAAGGCCAAGGGACCCTAACTAGAGCAGATCTCAAACAATAGGACTAACGCAGAGGCGAGGATCCAGATTATGAATTAATAATCAAGTTGGCTATAATAATGCCATAACCTTGAGGCTAAGGTAAATAATAATTAAACCACACACACACACACA